AGGCCATGAAAAGAATATTAACTCTACCCATATTTATTGTCAAATACAGTTGTGCCTCGCAAGACGAATGCCTCGCAGGACAAAAAATTCGCAAAATGAAAGGGTCTTGAGAGATTTTTGGTGCCTCACAAGATGGGCCATCTAGTGATATTTTTCGTCTTGTGAGGCGCATTTACCATAGGGATGCACTGAATTTAATGAATGTGTTCCTACAGGGGAAAAAGTCAGAAACCAAAAAAGTCAGCAAAAAGTCTCTTACCAGGTACAGTAGATTGAGCCCAGCTTCTCATAGTGCCTTTGTAGCCCCAGAACAGCTGAAAAAAGAGCACCAAACAGCTCAGAGTCGGCAACCAGCAGGGAGGCCGTGGCCATTCTGTGGTTGTCTCAGCTCCTGCCCCCCCCCCCAGGCTTCCTGGGGCTTACCTAGCATGGAAAAAGCCTCTTAGACCCGGGGCCAATCAGCTGAGAGGGGGGCGTCTTGCGAGGCACCACTGTATAGCCATTACAGTATGATAGCACCAAGTCGCTACTAAAGTCATGCATCATCCAGCATCTTTGTTGCAAAGACATGCCATATGTGCCAGGAAGCATACCTTGCAGTACCCTTATCCACTCCATTAGTCTCACACGTATCTATGTTATTACCAAGAAGAAAAAAGTCTCTGCTTTGAACAGCATATAAACAAAGAAATTAAAATATAAAATGCCTTGTTCTTTGACTGTAGTTGGGCTCGATGTTTCTTCTAAGGGATGTTGTCCTGAGAAATCCGTTTCATCAGAATGAGGTGACACCGTTGGTGGTGCTCCTACTGGTTCTGCAGTTGTTTCTTCTGACGAATTGCCAGACAAGTTCAGTAGCTAGACAAGAATTTAAAGAAAATATTATCTGGATATTATCTCATAGAAGACTTTATTGTGTCAGGAAAGTATCAATCAATGTCCTGATTTCCTCTGTTGTGTTTTAAAGCTCGATATTCTTCCTGAAATTGGCAGCAAAGTATAGCAAATGGCTTCATTACTTTTAATACATCACTGTTTTGGAGTAATGAGGGAGCAAGTTATGCTCCTGTGAAAAAATATAATAATTTATTCGCTTTCACGGCCAGGATCTAATGGTTGTTGTGGGTTTTTTGGGCTCTTTGGTCGTGTTCTGAAGGTATTTAATAAACACTGCCACTCCCAAGCCAACTACACCAGAGCACAGAGTGCTGTCCTCTGAAGATGCCGGCCACAGAGACTGGTGAAATGTCAGGAAGAACAACCTTCAGAACACGGCCAAAGAGCCCGAAAAACCCACAACAACCAATGTAATAATTACTAAGATCATTTGTGGTATAATGGTTAATGTACACTCATTACTCCAAAATATTATAGAAGTCATTTCTGAGAAATAGGGTTTTTTTTCTGTATTTAAGGTTGTTTTAAAAACATTAAGAACATCAATAAATATTAAAAACTAAGGACTATTTCATATACACATAACATACATCCTATCGAACTACTAGGATCAACATTATTGGCTTGGGTATTTCTTCTGCTCTCCAGATGACTCAAGGCTGGATCCAATATGGCCAGTCACTTTCCATCTATCTTTGTGAGTTTTTTAAAATCTCTGCTGAAACAATAGTTTATTCTGTTCCAAGGTTTATTCCAGAGGGCAGGTTTAGTGCTACACCACATTAAATGAGAAATTAGTTTTCATTGGATGGGCTAATAAGTTAGCTTGCAAAATAGGAAAAATGTAGAATGCAAAATGCAAAATGTAGGATCTTCTGCATTCTGCAGAGGACAAACAGGACCATTTCTGCAAAAGAAAAACGAAAGAAAAGAAAAGAAAAGAAAAGAAAAGAAAAGAAAAGAAAAGAAAAGAAAATGAATGGACACAACTCTGACATCAGGAATGGGAAACAAATTTCTGAAAACCTCAATTTCCAAGCCACTCTGTTATGGATCTCAAGGCAGATGTTACAGAGAAAAGGAATTACAAAAGGAGATTCAAAATGGATTATGGCAGAAATTGGCTATATAAATAAATTCCAGTGAATCTCAAAGAGCTACAAAATAGAGATCAAGGCTTCTTAGTGCAACACCCACCATATTCTAGGCTTTATAACCATTCCTGTTTTACTTTATTGATCATTTATCATTCTCCTTCCAATTTAATTAAATTAATCCCACCACTGATACTAGGAATATTTCCACTTCTGTTCACCTCAGTATTTGCTATGTAATAAAAAGGAGTATCAAAGATAACGAAGGCTTTGATTTCTATTTCAACAACAGTTTGAAAAAGAAAGGTGGCATCACAGTATTCAAAACATGCCTGCATTCAATGGCTGGAACACACACACACACACACTCACAGGCCAATGGCTGGAACACACACACACACACACACAGGCCAATATATATACACACATATATGTACACACATATATATTGGCAAAGTTACTGAGATCAAAACAACTGCAATTACTTACTGAGTGACAAGAAGGGTAGATAGTGATAAAAGCCCAAATTGATTCACACATATAAACTGTATATACTTGAGGGTCTGGGATAAATGCTAGGGAGAAATGGCACCAATAACCATCAGGAAAAAAACAAATTTGGCTGGAGTGGAATTTTTGAGCAAATGTGGAATTTTTTGAGCAAATGAAGTCCAACCTGCTCTTTTGCCAAACAGCTCCATGAGCAGACTCGGCCCTTGCAAGACTGGCCAGTCCCGTGTTCTTGAGATCTCTCTGAGCATATGTTTGACACCCAGGTTTTAAGTAATTTCAAGACAATGCATCTGTGAACAGAGTTTGAAAAAAAGCTGGAATGGGTCCAAAATGTAATTTATAGCACTTTAATCAGAGTGCCAGGCTGAGCCCATCTTTGGCAGCAAGGAACAGCGGCGGGAGAATTTGTTAAGAGCTGAGAAGGTTGATAGTCAGCCAGCTACCTGTACTTAGGAAAGAGGAGATGTCAAAGATCAGTGTATTCCATTTCAAAGCTCAGTTGTAAAAGCAGCTCAAATCTGTAAATTAATGAGCCACCATAGTGTCTGCAGTTAAGAAACCTTTTCCAGAAAGTTAGTGGGAAACCATTTGGATTGGCCAAGGAGTAGTCATAAGGATATAAATGTAATATGATCCAATAGCAAACGGGGATCCTAGGTTTAAGTATATTATGTTGTTGACAAGAACTGGCACTCGTTATACTAGCTCAGAAATCTTGCTCTCTTTGTGCTTCACTTAACCTAGCGATGCAGTGGATAGAGTGATGGACAAGGATTCTGATGAAAAGGGCTCAAATCCCCACTTGGCCATAGAAAATCACTGGGGGAGTGGAACTGTCAAAAACACTCCTTAAATATCTCACTCACCTTGAAAGCCGTATTAGGGTCTCTATAAATCAGTTCTGACTTGATGGCACAGAACACACACAGATACCTTTCTTATTTTCTTTGGTGGTGGTGAGGAGTTTCTTTTTACCTAGTTATCTTTTGACTTGCTGATTCCTTATTTCCTAATTGGCTTCCTGATTTAGCAGTTCCCCCCCCCTTCTTTTTGGCTTTTTCTAATTCTTTATTAAAGTTTCAAATCTCCGATTAGTGTTTTCTTGGTGGCAGGCTGTGGGATGTTAAATCTAAATTCAGATCCTCAGATTGGAATTGGCTATGCTAATATTTTCCCTGTGACTCTTGCATTTTTGCAACTTGGTTCTGTTCTCCCCTGCAGGGTTGGTGTTCACCCAGCAGGGACCAACTTACTAGACTTACAGTTCCCAGACGGATGGGGTGCTACTGCCATGAACTAAGAGAATGTTGCCAAGGACTGGGAAAATGTCACAATCCACCCATTGTCTTCTAGCAGCCGTTAACAGCAGAAAAAAAAAAACCCTTACGTCTCCCTGAAAGAAGACAACCAATGAAGAAGTAGCAGGGATTGGGATTCAGAAGACCTGGGTTGAAATCCTCCCATGGCCATGTAAAACCACTGTGGGAGTGGCAATGTTAAAACAATTCCTTAAATATCTGACATATCTTGTGAGGTACCTCACATACCTTGAAAACGCTATTAGGCTCAGTATAGGTCACATGACAGCTCATAACAAAAGAAACACCTGGGATGAAATCTTATTCTGCAGTTAGGCAAAATTTGTGACTCTTAGTGGCAAATTGTTGTAAATTTAGAAATCTCTGTAGATATTACCAGTTACACATTCAGTCACACATCTCAGTATGCAACAGATAATGCCTACAAAGATTCCTTAACTTGTAACAGTTTTGCCACTAAAAGTTCCACCTTTTGCATAACTGAACAACAGCGTTTGGACCATTGTGAACTACCTTGAACAAAAGTGGGTTTTTTCTGGTAAAAAGAAATATAAATTATATAAATCTATTAATATGTAAAGGGGACGTGGTGGTGCTGTGGGTTAAACCACAGAAGCCTCTGTGCTGCAAGGTCAGAAGACCAAGCAGTCGTAAGATTGAATCAACCAAACGGATTGAGCTCCCATTGCTTGTCCCAGTTCCTGCCAACCTAGCAGTTTGAAAGCATGTAAAAATGTGAAAAGATAAATAGGTACCACCTCGTTGGGAAGGTAACAGCATTCCATGTCTAGTCACGCCGGCCACGTGACCATGGATTCCATGTGCTGCAAGGTCAGAAGACCAAGCAGTCGTAAGATTGAATCAACCAAACGGATTGAGCTCCCATTGCTTGTCCCAGTTCCTGCCAACCTAGCAGTTTGAAAGCATGTAAAAATGTGAAAAGATAAATAGGTACCACCTCGTTGGGAAGGTAACAGCATTCCATGTCTAGTCGCGCTGGCCACGTGACCATGGAATCCATCTTCGGACAAACGCTGGCACTATGGCTTGGAAACGGAGATGAGCACCGCGCCCTGTAGTCAGACACGACTGGACTAAATGTCAAGGGGAACCTTTACCTTTATTAAAATGTAAAATCTAATTCAATCTGGTTTATGGAAGGCTAGGAAAATATATTAATGTAAATATTCAAAAGTGTATGAAAAGATGAAAATGCATCTTTTTGTCCTGATGACCATGATGATTATTAAACTTCTCTCTTGATCTTATGATTGTGCCAATGTTTCACTAGATGGAGCAAATGCCGACAGAGAGCCCACTGAGCATGTTCTGTTGCCTCAAGAAGAACCTTACTACAGTATTTGTTCCTTGTTTCAAAAAGCATTATTTTATTGTTTTCTTCTCCTGCTGATTGCTCATACTTGCTTATATATTAGATGTTAACCGTCCCCTTTTAAGAGTAGCTTTAATTTCAGTTTATGCATACAGCCTGGCTGGCTATCGAGGAATAACGAAGTAAGTAGATTATTATTTCAGGGATGCTGAAGCAGCACATGAAATATTTGCACTCTGTACTGAGTCTGGATTTCTTTGCTGCTACTTCAACCTTTTTGATTTAAGAAGATGCAGTTGGCTATAAGCATGGGTGACAATTTTGTTTTGGTTTGCTCTTTATCAAAATTTACCAATAACGTAACAACAAAAAGTAAAATGATAAAAGGTAAGGGAAAGCGAACCTAAAAGGTTTGCTCACCTCTAATATGGGGTGGCATGAAGAACTGAGCAAATGTTGAATCACAATAGAAGCACATTAAAGTTCATGTGGCTTGTACATCCTATCTATAGCATCACTTTCCAGTTTGGATCAGCTACTGAAAATTCTGGAGATGGCTCAAATCTTGCACTCCCATGAACTCCTTGGTTATGCCTTGTCTTCTTTTTTCTGTTATTTGCTTCATTGTCCTTGATCTCATGCAACACATCTGCTTGAGACAGCAGTATGCACCCCGATGCAATTGCCTCCAAAGAATAATCT